CCAGGGGTACCCCTCCAAGCCCCCCCATCAGCCTGGCAGCTCTCCTGCAAGCACCTGGGCAGAGCCTCAAAAGTCCAAGGGTGTGAAGTCCCCAAAGTCACAGTCAAAGAGCTCACTGATGCCCTCACCCTCCTCCAGGCCAAAGTGGTAGTCCTGCGCCTGCGGTGGCGACAGGTTGATGAACTCATCCGCCAAGAAACCCGAAAAATCCTCCCTGCTCTGCTCCAGAAGGTCATCCATGGAGGCCAGTGGTGAGAGGCTCACGTCCTCTGCTGCGCACTTGCTGCTCGTCCCTGGCATCAGCGTTTCTGTGGGGAAGAGAAAGCAGCCATAAAACGCACAATACTTGCCAAAAACCCCAGGGTTTTGAGCTATGCAGGAGAACCTGCCTTGCTGAGGTACCCCAGCCCCTTGCTTCTGCTGATGGCAGAGGGGCTCACAGCTGCAAACACAGCAAGAGCACTCGGCCAAACCCACTGTGCCATTGTGCCAGACCCCTGTCACCAGCTCCCTCCTGTCCCCATTCCCAGCTGCCCACCTTGCTCTCCGGGCAGCAGTGGCACGTCCTGGGTGGGATGAAGGAGTGGGGAGGCTCTGGGCTGCGAACAGCTGGGAGACGACTCCTCTGCTGGGGCTTTGAAGGGGCTTTTGACAGGGCTACAGACCCCTGAGCTGTCCTCGGGGCAGAGGAAGACATCGATGGGGCCCTGAGTGCTTCGCACAGAGACCTGGAAAGCCTGGGGAAAGGGAGAGGAGTGAGATGAGGAGGCACAAGGAAGGCTGAGGAGCTTGGGCTGGGCTTTCCTGAGGCTTGTGTCCACACGGGGAGCACAGGGTAGCCCCCAGCTCACCTCCGATGGGTCCGAGACCTGCAACTGGGTCTCTGGGGGGGCTTTAATAACCATCACCATTTGCTCTGCAGGGTCCACAATGCTGCGGAGATCCTGGCAGGTCACATAGGCTGCGGTGGAACAGGTCAAGGAGCAGACACAAGCGTGCTTTCATGCGAGAGAGGAGTGGGCTGCAAGATGCCTGGCCTGCAATGTGGCCCGGCTCCCCTTGGGTCTTGACCGCGTGTTCCCTCCCGCCCCAGACAGCCCCATCCCGGCCCCACACCAAAGGATATTGCTGGTTGGCGGGGTCCTCGGTGAGCAGGCGCAGCTGCACCGTGCACGTCTGGATGAGGTCATCCAGCTGCCGCTCGGCTGCCTGCAGCTCCCGCAGATCCTTCTCCAGCAGTCGGTGTCGGCTGGGGGCCCCCACGGTGGCCTGGCTGCCCCTGGGGAGCACCACGGCCATCAGGAGCCAAACCCCACAGCTCCCTCTGCCCCACAACGTGACTGTCATCATGCACCATCCCCACCAGGCTAAATCCTATCCCATACCCAGGGAATCAGCCGTGCAGGGATTCCTCAGTCACCCAGGCAACTCCCCCATCCCAGGGCAGAGTCAGGCACAACCCCACAAGCCCAGCCCAAGGACGTACAGCCACTGGATGTTGTTCTTGGACTTCTTGGTGATGAGCTGGATGCCCTCTAAGACATTGGTGATGTCGTAGATGCGTCTCTTCTGCACCTTCAGGACCTCCGCTGCCCAGTTGAGGTCCACCACACCATCAGGTGACTGGCTCAGCAGTTCCAGGAAGCGCTTGGTGGTGAGGTTCAGCGAGGTTTCATAGCGGGACTTCTCCCCTGGAGACTTTGCCCCTGCCAGCCACCAAGGACAAATGTGATTTAGCCACAAAGGAAACGCAGTGCTGGAACTGAGAAGTCCCAAAACATTCGCCCACACTCACAGCTGGTTCATGGACCAGGACTGACACCCTGAAGCCCATCTGCTTTCTGAGGGCAATGAGGTGAGCTCCCCACATCCTTCACAGGAAGGATGCTGCAGGACCTGGCGCAGGCTCTGACACCCATGCTTTGTGGTGACACCGAGGTGCCAAGTAGGGCTGAGCAGGTCCATCTGAGATGCTGCCCTGACACCATGCCAGCAGCTACAGCTCATTCCCACAGGGAGGGATGGAGCCAGTGTGGTGCCCAGCAGGACAACCATGCCACCAGCCCAGGTGACAGCAGCAGGGCTGGAGAGTAGCCAGAAATAGCCTGGCCATAGGAACGGTCTCTCCAAACCGACACGAACAGATGGGGAGAAGCTGCCAGAAATGAGCCCAGGGGCAGCAGAGCAGGGCTGCCAGACCCCCTGCTCCAGGCTGGGCTGCCTTGGCAGTGGGGAGTGGAGCCGGTACCTTTAGCGGCGTTCCTGGCCTTGCCCCGGCCCACCGGCAGGCTCTCTGCTATGTACTGGTGATCCGTCTCCAAGTTCAGCTTCCTCTTCACCTGCAAGGGTTGGGGCTTATCAGAGGGG